ATCGATCGATGGCGCACCTCCGTGCTAACGTTCCAGGAGCACAGGTAGGCCAAATCCTGAACAAAGGAGCCACCATGGCAAAACTGCCAGTCGATTATGCCGCAAAGTCGGTTTCCCAGAGAGCCGTCTGGATTTACTTCAAAAAACAAGTTGCTTAACCATAGGTCACCGTGGGTTACGACGGTTGGAAACGTCTTATACACGTTTTCTACCGTTTTCAGCCACTGCGCCGGCGACAGCAACTGGCATACCGTGTTGATGTTCATGTTCGAGAAATAGCTCGGGTAAAGCAGTTTCACTTTGTTCAGTGCGAAGCGCAGTCGCTTGAACCATGAGGCATAAAATTCCAACCAGTCACTGAAACATGGTATTCTCGGCAGAATGGTCTTTCCATTTTTGCATGACCAAGCGTGTAATCGGGCCAGTGCGGCTGCGACGTTTTTCAACTGTTCGCCGTTAACGCCAACAGAAAGGTCTTCAACAGCAGCGGCCGTGCCGCTTAAGTCATCCAGAATCAAATATCCTGAAAGTGGTTCAAATAATACTCAAAAATTACCATAAACAAACAAATGTGTATTTGCTTTCACATTGGATAGTGAGCCTGATTTGACTTCAGAATTCGCTCGACTGATTATATATATAATATCTCAATTTAAACATTTAAATCGATGTATATCTGCATGTGTGCATTTAGCCTGTGTCTTTGCCCTGTTTAACTGGATTCAACCGGTAACAGGCTGCAGCATCAAATACAGAGGCCTCATGCCGTGTCCGCAATTGATTAGATGGTAATGTCATGAATGTACCCTTTTTCCAATGTTGGCATTGTCGGTCCAAAATTGGTAGTTTCGTTATGAATAAAAAACGAACCGTGCCATATTATACCGTTATTATAATGCACTGTAATTATGTACTAATGTTTTAATCATATACTGCTTTCTATTGCTGCTTGCATAGAATTACGTTTTAGTCAACTGACGGATTGGCTACACCTGTCAAAATGTAGCAGGTATTCGAATCAGCAGTTCTTGTTTTCTCACCGCCTTTGCTTCCACCGTTAATTAAACAGCTTCGCCATTGAGTCGTCCGACAGAGTAAACGTCTGGTGCCGAAGGGAATCCGTTTGATAACAGTGGATGTCCACATGTTGTACATCAGACTTGCTTCATCGTCTCCCCATTGTCGCTTGGGGTTTGGGTACATCCAGATTGTGTCTGACATCAAACTATTACTACTAGCGTGGTAGCACTTCACGCAGTAAGTTATGGCACATTTCGTTAAGTCGGCAGCAGCAAGTGGAGAATTGGTTTGCATCAGATTCCCTCATCATTCAATAATTATTTTGATTACGGGATCGGTAACAGACTTCTATAACATCAAGTTTTGATTGCTTCGATGGATTTGCACTCGATATCTTTGATGGTTCAACATTCAAATCCATTGTCTTCAGTCTAGCATTTTATAAATTGGTCAAATCTCAGCTTCATGTGTTTCTAATGCTATGATGTATCCTTACTCAGGTAATATTTGCCATGCAGCTCTCGCCTTTCATAGAGGTAGGCAGATGTTTGATCTGTCATCTTTAATTTCGTTCATCGTTGATTAAATGTACGGAAAAGAGAGTACTTTGTGCAACTTATCATCATCCGTGGCAGAGCAAATTAGTGTATGAGATCTGGCCACCATTATCACGCATATCTTCGCCAGGCCAAACTTGAACCGAAGGGTTTGCTCCAAATGCCGATTTCCGTCCATGTTATTTCGAGTCCTTTGGAAATATTAGAAACTGTTATGCTGCAGGGTTAATTTCTGATTTTCACTGATCCTGAAACCTCAAAAAGCTTTATGAAATTGGCCACATGGCCATTACCCAACTAGATCAAATAACGTTGATTATAAAAGCAGCCCTGGCGTACCTATTATTGACATTGAGCGAATTGAGAGAGAAGTCGAAACTGACACTGCGTGTGACTCTGCTGTGTATCTCTCGCGACAGGCAACAGAAATCCCACCATCGGCTTCACTTCAGAAAGTTTCACATAGCTCACTGAGTTAATTTCTCTATGAGTCAAATCAACGCAGGCAGAATGACGTATTGAATTCCGGGATTTTTTCGCAATCACACATGATACCACATGATTCGTTTGAGTCTCAATTTGATTGATTTTCCGCTACATTGATCTTCACATTTTAATGCATTTTATCCAAAATTGTTGACACTAAGATTTATCAAAATAAAGACCAAGTAAACTGCCGGGCAGTTAAAGTGATTTGTTAGGTCCCAGTTCCTGATATGAAATTGAGTAAAAGGCCGCTCTTTATATGTCATATTTTCGGTTGCTGAAGTGTGTCGCTGTCAGCTGCCATTACTCTGCCGGAATGGTATTAGTGTATTGGGTTTTTTTTGCGTTGAGTTTCGTCATGCTATGTAGCCGCAGCCCAAACTGAACTGCTTTAAAGGACGTAAGGACCTATATCAACTCTTCATCACTATGACCTCGCGATCGTGTAAGTCTTACTGGCCACTGTGAAGACTCATAGTCTCTGATATTTTAGCGCAGCTGTTTTGGCGCAGACCGCTGGTTGGTGTCAACGCTCGATCGTATAATCGCTGCATTGAATTTGCATAACTGGACAGTGGTCAACTGCATTAGTTGAATGATTCAGCCCATCATATTATATATCAACGGAAAGCTGCCTGAAAGTGAAGAGCAATGCCGTTGTCAAACTCTTAAATTTTTTATTACAATTCCATTGTGATGACTGCGCCATGTCAATATTTTATTGTGCAGGCTGCTATCGCGAGTTCGAATTTGTTTCATTGGCATATAGGTTATCTGTATCAATTGTTTGACCTCACCACTCATATTGCCTATCAGTGGAAAGCTCTAAGTGAGGCGGAAGGCCGTTTTTTATCAAACGATGAATGCAGGTGAATTTAAATTTATTTTAGGATTCCATCGTGGTGACTGCACGAATTCGTTATGGCAGCGCGCTGTTATCTGATCAAAAATCAGAGTTAATGTAACTACAGGTGGTCATCTGCATCAATTACTTGAACCTCAGTCATACATCGTCGAGAGCTCTTTATGCGCGGAATATGAAACTTTCCTCATAATAGTAATGTCGAAGTTGGCATTTCGTTCGATGATTTCACTGTGACCATTACGCAGGCTGATTAAATCAGCATGAGTGAACGTTAACACTGACAGTCACGAATTTGATTTATGGAACTTTCAGAAGCATATCCATGTTTCGTTCGTGTTCCAGATCTTCTCCTGTTCCGTATCTGTACAAATCCCTTTATGAGCATATTACGTTACTTTTGTCAAATCATCGAATTTCTGTTTTGTTTAATGATCGCTCCATGTTGATGACACGAGGTTATAAATTAACGCGTAGTCACCTAGTTGCTGATTGAATCTATGTAGTGTTAGCGGCTTCGTGCAGTCACCACGATGAAACATAAATTATAAAATGAAAATCATTCATATTCATAGTTTGACAACGGCTTTGCATTGTATTCGTATAGAAATTTCATTGATAGATGACATAAATGGCAGAGCCCAATCATCGATACAAATGACTGTCAATGAATGATATAAATTCACGTGCCTGAGCCTGCACTGTAAAATACTGACATGGGGCGGTCATCGCTATGGAATTATAACAAGAAATTCATTAGTTTGACAATGGTATCCTACTTCACTTCAGACATTTGTGCATTGGTACATAACATTATGGACTGAATCATTCAGTTGTTGCAGCTGACCATTGTCTAGTCATACAAATTCAATGCGGTGACTGCAGGACCAAGACGTCTAATTTCGAATACACGGGAGTATGTACTGAAAGGAGTCCGACTTTAAAATATAAAAAGCGCGCTTTCATGCATCGTTGGTTTCTATGTCAAGAATAAGGATATTTCATTTATGAGCGTGATTGGTAAGAGTAAGGATCATCGTCTGTTTTTCACTGTGAAGGGTGCGTATGAAAGGATCACTTGGTTCAGTGGATGCCAGCATTTTGATTAAAGGTTACTTTTTTTAGCCATTACTTAACAAAAACTCCCACGAAATGACGCGGGCCCATATTCGGTATGCTGTTGTAAAAAATTAGACAGTAGCTTTAACGGGAATATTCGACGACGCGACGATGTTGATGACCTGTTTTGTCGAGGTCATTGCACGCAACGCCGTTGCGTCAGAAATTCGAACATAGTATAAGAGTTGGATCAGCATTTATTTGCACTTTCGAAACTGAAGCAGGTGTTCCTAAGCCTTTAGACGTAGCTTAATCGACGTGATTAAAGCAAGATTTGCAGATAGTAGATGAGCTTCTGATGACTAAAAAAGCTCATGCAATTTTACGCTGTCTTCAGCACGCATTTCAATCAGTCACATTTAGTGGATTATCTCACCCAATTCTGATAGCGTCGTCACCAATAACAACTATTTATAGAATGGAAATATGTAAACAAATTAACCAGCGAAGCAAATGCACTTACAGCGTGCCTCAGGATCAGAAATTTCTAACAGCTGTTTCTGTGCCTTTCCAAAGATCCTCATATGGGATGCCTGAAGCGGTGACGAAACTGTATGGAACTGCAACATCTGACTTGCCACTGATTGTGGTTTGAACACCTCTGAGTCTTCTTGATCCATAACACAAGACAAAACTGGACAATTTTTTGTCTGTAGCATAAATCGAGGGGAAAGAAATGAATTAATGACCGGATGCAGCACCTGGACGTATTCCAATAACATTTTAGGTTTTGCCTTTGAGCTGCGAAGATGCTGTACGAAACCAAGAAGTTCCTCCTGCCAGTATTTCAAAATTTCACGTTCTAAATTCGAGTCAATTTTCTTGATCAATGATATAATATGGACCTGTGTCTCCTGCGATGGATTGAAAGGAAAGAGTTGTAATTAATAGCCAGGCATAGGATTGACAAATGT